TCAGTGCAGCCATCTACCGAAAAAATAATGGATTTCTTTTTCCCCAAGCTAATATATTATAATATGCAACGCATCGCTCAATTAGTGCGCAGTACCAGGGCTTTTTTTTTGCAAATTCAACATTCAAACGCGCTAATAACGTTAATAAATATTGTCTATTGATTCTTTGTCCCATTCCAAGATAGCCGACGAATTTTATATTATGTAAGTTCCAAAACAGGGACGCCACACATTTCCCAGCCGACTCCCGCAATTTTGGTCGGTTTCGACGACTTTCGCCGGTTGCTATCCAGTCGGCTGACTGCCGGTTTCCTGAACTGTAGTGATGAATAAACGTTTCAGTCATTGCCACGTATCACATGAATGCATTTTCGAAAGATAGTAAAAACATGCCACAGTTGTATACCAAAACTGTTGCGACAACTCATGGACGTATCATACCAACGAAATCCTTCAATCCTAGTGGAGTGGATTTTTGTCGACATACGAAAGTTCGCGAAAAGCAACTATATCAAACTTTCATTGTGGTGTTAACATCGCAGGGGTGAGCGCTTGATCGTGTGACTAATAGTTACTTCCACAGGGAAAAGTAGCGGAAGTTCAAAGCACAAAGCGTGCATTTAAACGGTCGATATATAAATGAATATTGCTGCTCGCTTTCAGAAATACTTTTGAAAGATAGGACCCTAATGTTGATTTTATGCGTTAAGTTCACGCATTCGTTATTTACATACACTCTTTTTCTCCGCCTTACTCTTTCTATTCTATATTCTATTCTATATTTATAGTAGAGATTTTCGTACACAAATAAAGCTGTGCGGCACATAACGTTAACAGAGGTAGCACCTTAATTCCGCAAACGAATGAAGGGCGGATGCAACAATGTAAGAACAGCTTGCGTTTTTGCGAATACCTTGTTTAAAAAAAACTATTTTTGGAAAGCTTTTCGCCTCTGTTTGCTCTTTTAAAAATAGTACCTTATCTGTTCATTGTTGCAAGCACCCGGAACCCATAAAGCAATAATTGTGTTCGGCACTGATGACGGCGTACACAAATAAGGTTTTTATGTTGTACGTTTGCCAAATATATATATATATGATGTATGATATCTATACATTAAAGGGGTGGATTTCCGTTCCAAAGTGCTGAATTAATACCCTTGCTTGCTGCTCTTTTACTTTACGATGGAAAGAGTATTTTGGGCTATAAATTGAAAGGTAAGAACAAGAGAATGAAAGAGTCAGACCAGATTGTACAAACACGGAAGCAAGACACAACGAGAAAATGTAAGCAATAAAAACAAAAATGAGAAGAAAGAAAAAACATCACAAAAAATAAGAAGAAAATGGTCACGAGCTACGTGATTTAAAAGGAAACAAAAAAAAGAAAAAAAAACGACACTTTCGAAATATATTAAACGTTTCGTCCTAAATTAAATATAACTTCTGTGGTATTATAAATCTTTTCATGGCTGCTTGAGAACTTTAGATTTTATAAATGCTTTAATAAATGGATTATTTTCGTACTTGCTTGATAGGAATCAACAGAAAACAAGCATGCCGAATTTTAGCTTTCTAACCTAATAATTACATTTTCGAGAAATTCAATAACTTACCTGCAGACGGACGAGTATAAATATTTCGAGTAAGAAACTCATACACACCATCATCCGTTGTTCCATATTGTTTGAAATAAAGAAATTAGTATACAATTATTTTCCAGTGGTAGACTGAAAAAACCATTTGTATGCAGCGCAGGTGCAGCGTGAGCGAAAACAAAATATATAAAAATATATGTAAGCAGAATAGCAACAAACGATGATTAGCTAACCCGTTATTGTCCCAAATTGAACTTGTACAGACAAGGCGAAACAAAATAGTTTAGTTGGTGCGATATAGGAAAGAAAAAGGCAGAAAGACTTTCAGCGATTTTTGCTTTTGCAGGAATTGCTCAACTAACGTTAAAGATATTTAATACCGTTTTCATGCGTGTTTTTTATAGCAAGAAAAAAACTATAAAAGGCCTAACAAAAGCCTAAAACTGTTTCTTTAGATTTTGTCGCAGAAGAGTTAAATTTAAAATTTTAGTTTAAGTTACTTTTTTTTAATTTGTTGTTTTTTAAAGGCGTTAAAAAGTGAAATTAATGCAAAATTTAAATTACTCGTTTATTTTTTTATTGTTTTGCGAGCAAATAGCTTGTTGCATAAATGCAATCAATAAATGGGATCCGGTGAAACCCCCCAAAGCTCGTTGGGGACCCAATATGCAAATGCTACGATTACACAACAGTATGTGGTAACTACGCATTAATTAGGTGCAATACAACGCTTTCTTTCTATAAAACTCATTTTTGTTATAAACAGCCCCAGCATTCGATTATTGGTCAGAGAATCACGAAGAAAATATCTGGGAACTAAGTGGTTTATTTGAGGGTGATATTATGTTACATCGCGACTACTTGCGTAATGGTCTACTTAATGAAAAATCGACTTGGCCCGATGCCACGGTACCATTTTATATTGATAGCCATGATTTCAGTAAGTACATAATATCAATATATATATCAAATACTTGCTAATCATCAACGCAAAACAACAATATAGCGCAATATTTTTGTTGACATATGTGTACTTAATTAAAAACAAAGAATGCACATATTTGTTCAATTGATATTTGCATTGTGTTTAGCATTTTAATATAATTTAGAATAGAATTTAACTATAAAAGCAAAACTTAATTTATACAAAAACTTATTATAAAATATATGTATAACAAAAATCCTGTTTTCCTGTGTAAACCAGCAATGTTATTGATATCAATGGCGGCTTTTATACCATAAAATGTGTATATAATATGTAAACTATTGAATCTACATGTGAAAATTTAGGTTTATGTCTTTATTTCGCAGCTTGCGCTGGTAGTAATGACAAACATATGTCAAAGGCAAATTTTAATCAAGTTGTCACTTGTCACTTTATTCCTTTGTAATCACAGTAATAAATAATGCTATTGACTCGCCTTTATTACTTGGTGAAATAAGCTTTAATGTCCTTAACCGCTTCTCTAAGCACTTTATCTTGGTTAAGCTTAGTCAGTGTAAATATAATTATGAGCTGTTTAATCCGCTCAGAGTAGTTTGCAAGAACCTGACGTCTATCATTTATTCTCGTTATCGGACTCTTTAAAGTCTATTAAAGCAACTTTGCTTAATACGTGCGATTTACCTATGTCTTACTTAAACTAGCTTTTAACCTTGAAAATTCCGTTACGATTCGAAAATGAATTATTGTTAATTATTATCGGTTGCCAGACTTGTGCATATTTACGATGGCTTAGGGGTTCATTTGCAATTTGGTCCTGTACCGGTTGTAAGTGTGGCTCTATGCTGACTGTGATTATTAATTTAATATAAGGTTTACTTTAAGTGCCAATTGAACTCGACCGTTATTTGTTCAGTTGAGTTTTATGTATAAGTAGAATTAAAATAAATAAATAAAATAAATAAAATATATTCACTTTCGCTTTATTCTTTATTATTTGTATATATATTGTTATTATATATATTATAATTATTCTTTATATATTATATATATATATATATTTATATACAAATATATTTCTGTATAAATGTATATTATATATAATCTAGCCCATGGAATAAAGCGACAGTGGATATATATATGGAATAAAGTGACAACTTGATTAAAATTTGCCTTTGACAAATGTCCATATGTCAATATTCCATATATATATATTATATACATACTATTCCATATTATATATTATATATATATATATATATATATATATATATATTATATAGATATTATTCCATGGACTAGATTATATATAATATACATTTATACAGACATATTATATTATATTATTATTATAAATATATATAAATATATAAATATATATATATATATATTTATATATATATTTATATATATATTTGTATATATATATATATAAATATATAAATATATATATATACATACAATATATATTATATATACATATACATATAACATATTATATTATATGTATGTATTTATGTATTGGTATATATTATTTACAATCTATCCAATAAAGATTATAAGTAAATAGAGGTGGTTGCTGCCTAATGGGCATAATAAATATAATAGTACGATTATGATTTTTTCATGAACAAATAGGTACTACACAAACGGAGAGGTTTCATTGGATAAACTTATGCTAACAAAAACTTAATTTTTAAATGGTACATCCAATGCACATACATAATCTTGTAAAATTTTTGCCTACAATGTTGTTGATTTATTTATCCCTTATTCCAGCTAGACATACATCTATTTGCCATTTTCTCCTGCTATTTATAATCATTTGTTCATTTCAATTTATATGAACGTAATTATCTAATTTAAAAAAATATCAGGTTTTTGCTAATGCAGAGTGCAGGGTTAATGATCCCATTACATTAATATTTGCTCTTAACATACGGAATGTGATATAAAAGTTTGAGCAATGACAGACTAACAGACGTAGGTAAACAAATTCCCGTTAATCAAGAATATACATACTTAATGTACATTTTTCTAATTCTAAACGTTGTCGGCATTACAAATATATTGAAAATATAATATATCGCAGCTAGTGAGTAGAAAACTTGCTCACATTTTCTTCTCGGTAAGAAGATGAGCTATTAAATTTTAACTTCTCTTACGAAGACTTTCAAAAAAGTTGGGAAAAGGAATTCTTAAAAGTTCCATAAACGCTGGTAAACTTTTTCAACAAAATAAGCATGTGCTATAGTAAAAAAGTAAACCGTGAATGTTTATCTCATTCTGCTCATTTTTTTCTTGAATTTGTTGAAAAGCAAAAACGAACATCAACAAGACCTATGACTGCGTTGATCTGAGTAATCTAGGTTAAATTCTTAGAGTTTGAAAAACACCACTTGAGACTTTGGATTTTAAATTTTCTCAGTTCGCATCTGACATGGTTGAAGTTCATACGGCACTTCCGAAGGGAGCTGCCTAAGTCCCATTGTCTTCAATCTATATACGGCGAACAACACGTCTGTTGCAATATTCTGACGACTTCCTATTGGTTTCTGCTGAAAAACTTTTAAGAAAGCAGTTGAGAACCGGCTTATACGGACCTTAACCTACCTACCTCACTGCCAGTCCGGGTCAAACGTTGTTAAATTGATGAATTGCCTTCAAAGAGGGCTGTCCCCAAAGAAAGAATTCACAATTTACAAATCATTTCTTCGTTCAAAAATGGTATTTTCCTTCTCCAACAATTGCAATTCTGCGGACTGCGAAAACAATACAGACTTTTCAAAACAAACTGCGAAGATAATGTAGAGGTCTCTCTCCTTCGACTCGATTCTAAGACTCACGTCTAATGAACTGCCGACCCCTGAGAGGACTTCACTTCTTATTGCTAAAGAAATTGTGGAAGTAACAGTTATCGCTTTTTAAAACGATAGTTTCCAGGGCAACCGAAGTCTCCAGCAACTATAGAAGTTGCTGTTAAAAACTTTGTCGTATTTTCGACAAATTCAATTGTATTTCAGTCTGGAGATCTGTACAAAGTATATACAAAATATATCTAAATCTCTTCATGTCAATAGCCAATACAAAAAATAGTTTCACAGTTGGATCTTCGAGCTGTTTGCCGGGAAAGACTTCGATTATATCAAAACAATGACATAACAATTTATGACACTGATCGCTCAGTTGGTCAAAGAGTGTTTTTGCTGTGGTAAAATACCATCAACAAATCGGCCAAAAAATTTGGAAGAGCTTTTACTGAGGTTCTAACCATCAGGCAGGCGGTTGATTCTGTCAAATCTAAAGGCATCAAAAAATTCTGACAACAGACTTTAATCAAAAAACGAAAGATCCGCACAGCATGTTTATGTTTGAAATCCATATGTTAACTAATTCTAACATAGATGTATGTCATCAGGTGTGGATACTAGGTCATTATGGCTTTCATCTAAATGAAAATGCTGACCTTTATGCATTTAAAGCTCGGCTTGATGAAGAAATGCTCTTAATCAAATTTTCCTCAAAGACACCTTCCGTCTAATTCGAAATAATATCGTGCAAGACTGATCTAACAAAATGAAATCAAGGCTGTTTTTCACAGCATCCATACTTTCATGACTTTTAAATGTCTTTCTGATGTTAACTTTACCAGATGGAACATTACGGACTTATGTGCAATCATGCATTTGACAAAGTTTATTTAAAGATCATCGGAAGGGCATCATCTGATACATGTGAAGAGTGTCGCACAAAAAAATATATTATTTTTACGTGCAATAAATAAATTCAGTCACACTAATTATTCATTAGAAAATAAAGGTATCTATACTATCTTATATGAAATCTTCTGTGCTCACAACAAAACCCATCTTAAGCAGCTAACTGCTTTGTTAAAACTGCTGACTACTCTCACCAAGTTATCACAATTATCATGAAACTTTTTGTCCTATTTAGTCGTATTTTTGCAAAATTTCATCAATCCACAAATCAATAATTGCTATACAGCCACAGGTTGATATAAATATTCTGGACTAAGCTCCAGAATGAACAGAAGTGAATGAACTACTACAACATGAATTACTCCTAATCAGGATAGATTAACATTATTGGATCAACAATAAATAAACAATAATAAGCGACGCGTGATGTGCACCATCAATTTTTTTCTAATAGCCCTCTTTACTCTTGCTATTAACCATAAACCCTAACGTATAACTCTTTTTAAAAATTCATCACATTATTGAATATATTCGTCTTATTCTTAAGAGGCCTAGTCCATTCTTCTAGCTAATGGTGGTTATTTTCTTTGTCTATGTTTTATGTTTAATAGATGAAGCACAAATCATGCTATTACTCAAAGCTTTCAAAGAATATCATGAAAAAACTTGTATTCGTTTTCGACCATATGAGAAGGGTGACAAAAACTGGATAGTACTCAAAGGTAATTATTCCGGCTGCTGGTCCAGTGTTGGACGTCGCCTAGGCGGACAGGTAAGATCGAAAGAAAATAGAAAAGAAAGTATAATACATAACTAAACAAAGCAAAATCATTCGATACGATATTATATTCAACAAGGTCTTAAATCTAAATGCACCGAAGTGTGTAACGCATGGTGTGATAGTACATGAACTTCTACATGCTTTGGGTTTCTACCATCAGCAGTCGGCAACAGAACGAGATGATTATATTAAAGTTAATTGGGAGAATATTATACCGGGTCACGAGCACAATTTCAACAAATATGCTCGTACCCATGTCAGCAATTTCGGTGTGGAATATGACTATCAAAGTGTTATGCACTATAGTTCAAAAGCTTTTACAAAGAACGGTGAAAACACTATAGAACCATTGGTAGGTCAAAAATAACAACAATAGCTGAAAGAAAGGATAAAACGAACTAAAAAATTACAATAATTTATTGTAGGATCCGAATGCTTCTTTTGGACAACGCAAAGGTCTATCCCAAAAGGATATAGCAAAATTGAATAAAATGTACGAAGAGGATTGCAATGATCTTGACGCGCTTAGCTTTAATAGCTTACCCAATTATTTAAATGATATAATTGATTATTTTCAAGGTACACTTAATAGCTATTTTCGGTAAAAAAGAGAATAAAAATAAAATAGCAATAATAGTTAAGTGTAAAAACTAAACTGACACAATTCCGCAAGAGTATTTTCAGCTTCCTAAAACATGAAAAAAAAGTTTAGAAATTCTGTTTGCTTTCACTATCAGCAAATACTTCTACCTGTTTAACTTCGGAGTTATCATCTTCAGCTAAGGTTTCCATCGCTCTTTTAAGGTCGCTAGACCAGACTTTTTGCAAGGCTCTCATGCTGAACCGTCCAAGCAGACGTATCAACATGCACATGCGCAAACGCATCAAGTCGTTTTTATTACTTAGCAGATCAGGCAAATTTACTTTATCGGATAAGACAATATTTTCTACCAGCTCCGCATTTTCAGGTAATTGTCTTAAGACACAACCTAGCAAAGCCAAAACACAATTCGCTATACGTAAGCCAAACGAATTCTTAAAGTCTGAAACGAAAAAAAGAGTTTATTCGATGCTAATGGAAATTTGATAAAACAAAACCTTGATTTATAAAAGTAATCATTAAGTCATCAGCTGCTAAAATAGCTACGGCATCACAAAATTGCGATAGAAATTGTAACCTTAAGTGAACCAAATGACAAATAAGTTCGTAGAGTCGGGAAGCACATTTCATCTCTTCATTGTTTAGTTCACTGAGAGCTCTAAGTTGACGCTGACTAGCTGTCGAGTGAGCAGGAGGTAAGGAAGCTGTAGAATCGTTAATATTTCGTTGATAAATTAATAGCTTGGAGGCATACATTAAATTTGGCACTAATTTAACATCGACATATACCTAGGGAAAAAGATTTTCGAAGATTTCTTAAAAACATTTGCTTCACGACTTTCATTTTTACCGTTTTGATAACCTCTAAAATACTAACAGGCTCGTTTAAAACGAATGGCAACGCTAGCAGCTGGGCCACACTATCCATAACTTTAGGTATTGCTTTAGAGTTTCGTAAAGGGGCGACAATAATGCTGACCTAAAAGAAATTAAAAATGTTTCTAGTTTTCCGATTTCTCTTCAATCTTATAGTATTTTCTAATATTACCAAGTTTTGCTGTTTCAGAGACTCCAATTCTCCATCTAATACTTCCTGTATAGAACGGTGCAAAAAGGCCAACCATTCATCATTTTCAAGCGGAGGACTTTGAGATTCATCACAAGAATCCCATCCTGGCAAAAGGCAAGGTGGTGAATTTCTAAAATTTTCTTTACAATAAAGACCGTTTCTTATTCCAATTCATTGCAGTAAAAACTTACTCCATATTGCGCTTCTCTTCTAAGGATAGCATCGAACATCTCAGTTGCCCTACTTTGCTATCCTTTGCACCTTTATTTCCTTCCTTTTTGTAAACTTTTTCACTAATTCTCCTTGCCTGTTGTTGTTGCTCAGTTTCTTGACTTTGACCCAAGCGTAACGAGAAATTATCCAAATTTTGACTTAACTTACGCTTTTCCAAATCTTTATTACGTGATTTGGATAGTTTAGGCTTCGATAGATGATTTACAATTTTGGTATTGGTGTTGGCAGTAAGGGTAATATTGAAGTTATCATTTAAGTGATTCAAAATCATATTATTGTTACCACTGACAAAACAAGTTTGCGAATTAACAGCCGGTTGGGCAGTCAATTCGAGTATTTTTGTGTCAAAGTCGTTCGATGCTTGATTATTTTCTTTAAACGATTGTTCGATAAATGGCACTACGACGCGATTAAGATTCTCTTCAATATCGGTTTCTAAAGGGTCAAGATCACTTGCTGGTATAGCGTTAATACTGTCACGCGAGGTGCTAAGATTGTCCTCCATTTGATCAAGTTTTACTATCTGAAGATTTTTTGTTATTTGTTTTAGGTCCAAACTGAGAAGAGAAATTAATTCATTACATTTTGAAACTTGGATAAAAGCGTTATAGGCCTCACGTTGCTTTCGCGGTTGCAATAACCTTCGTTTTAGACTTGTTGGCCTGTGGATTAATAAAAGGTGAATTTTCCGCCTTTACTCCGGCTTTGATATACAATTTCCCATCTACGAAGGGATGACAGAGTATTTGAGTCCAACTGGTACGCAATGAAGGATCTTTTTCCAATAAACCCTTTTATATCAAAAATAAATTTACCCGATTGTGTCTTAATTTTCGGTGTTCTTTCTCACCTGCAGGAATGATCTACAATCACTGGTAAGGAAACTTGGCCATTTCACTTCTTCATGTTTAATCATTTTCACCAAATGTAAGATTGACGTTGTACAAAATGGTGGTTGACCAGCTATAGCTTCGTACGAAATACATCCTAATGACCACAAATCAGCCTGATGATCATAGGGGCGTTCTGCCAATAATTCAGGTGCCATATACAAAGGAGTGCCTTTAATAGATGTCAACACATGGGTACCCATAGTCATATTACGAGCCAAGCCAAAGTCACAGAGTTTAGCATTTAAGTCTTCGTCCAGTAAAACATTTTGAGGCTTTAAATCGCGGTGCAAAATGCGATATGAATGCAAGTAATACAATGCTGAAACCAAATGGCAAATTAAATGTTGTGCCTGTTCTTCGTTTAAAGCACCATGACGGGACATGTAGCGATGCAGGTCGATAACAGCAAATTCAGTAACCACAACCAATTCATTTTTGGTCTCAAACGATTCCAGCATTTCAATCACATTGGGATGCTTGAGTTGTGCTTGTATATCGCATTCGCGACGTAAATTTTTCAATTCCCTACTAGAACGGCCACGCTACATACATTAATATATTAATATAAAAAAAATCGTCTTTTTTTTAAGAGCGTTTAACATCTTTTGTTTCCTATATATATTTCCCATACATATAAGCCACAAATCTATTGGCTTAGTCCATCTCCATTCAACATACCAAAAAAAAAATAAAATATGTTTCCCATATATTTACCTTTGATATTACTTTAATCGCCACTGTTTGGTCATCATCTTTGCGTGTCGCTTTATAAACACGTCCAAATGAACCTTCCCCAATAAGCGAATTTACCGTATAACGATACATTTTAAAGCTCAGATAACTTATTTATAATTTGAAATACAATTGGTCCATAATTTTTGTGACTTCTAATTGATTTTTTCCTTCAGGTCTTTTTTTTAACTTGTTGCGTGTTTGCAAGAAATCATATAAAAGCACAACTTCTTCTTCTTCAGAGTCAGCAAATTGACAACAGATGACGTGCTGAGTCGAGTAAAAAAAGACTCAATGCGAACACGAAGTTCTTTGTTTGAACTATAATACAGTTGACAATCACCTTAATTACAAATGAGTACATATATATACACATATATATATCGCGTGTATGACGTCCGCGACGTAACTAAAATCACCTTGCGGGATATGATCTTCTTGAACAATTAAAAACATGCCATCTTAACAACACATATTACATTTAAGCACAGGGTAGTTTTCTGACTATGGCAAAGCAAAAGCAGAATCAGTTAATCGCAAACGTGACTGTTTTTCGCTTTTTATATTACGCACAATGCAATGCAGAAACCCAGAGGAGTAATCACGTATGAAAAGTTAACGTTTGCTTTCAGTTGTTTTTGCTAAATAGCTAAATGCGAAAGTTAATTTTTGGCTACGTGATTATCCACTAGAAAAATACAAGGATTCCTTCGCATATTCCAGACCAAAATCATATGGTTTGAAAAATTAACCGTATGATTAGATTTTGTTTGCATAAAGATTAACAAATCTCATAACCGATGACGCCAAAGAAATCTTTTGAAAGTGATTTTTTGAAGCAAACTACAGTTTATAAAGCGGGTATATATATACTAGGCAGCAATTTGAATTATAATTCGTGCTTATTATGAATAAAATTCCGTTAGTATGAGCTGTAGATAAGAGAAATATTACACTAAGGGAGGTAGTACAATCGATTTAACGCCTGCCATGCCCTATTATCATGTTAATTTGTTGCGCAACTTTTTCGCTTTATTGCTATATCCCTACTGCCTCCGTCAATTTGTTCGTATTAGAGACAGCTAAATGAAAAGATGCCCAAACATTCCATTCAAAATACAAACTAGTAAATTTTAAGAAGCTTTTAGTGTTTTTGTTATTAATAACCGTAGTGCTGCTGTTAATAGGGAGTCATTCATCCACTTGCTCGTTTATTCTCATTATTTGTGCGGGCAAGGATTCTGTTAAACTGTCATGTCGTTTCAAACGGCTATGAAGCGAAAGTATACGGATTTTCGTCTTTTTAAGCGAATGTGTGCTATGGTGCACATACAATTTGTTTTGTCCCTCCTTTTTTTTTGTATTGGAAAAACGTGCATTTTATGTTCGGGAAATACCTCAATAAATTTCCGTGAAAATTTTCGTATAAAGGAATCTGAGGAAACTTCTTATAATTAAAAAGAGGTCTATTGTAGAAATAATTTACCTTTATTTAATCTACATACATACATACATTTTACGTGAGTTATTGTACAAGCCAAGCAATCTATTTGTTTCGTTCCTCGGTATGTATTCCAAGATAGCACTCTATAAATATTTTAATTTATAAATGACATGATGTCCAAAATAATTTTAATATAATTACAATGGTATTTACCTCTGAGACATATATTGCTTGTGATGATGAAGCAGACAGATCCGCAAAAAAGAAAGCAAGGGGAAGAAAAAACACAGCCATTTTTCAAGATATGGCGCATATGCATATATTTTAGCAAAAATAAGCTGTCCAAAGTGTTTGGATTAAATGGCCACCTGAGAGCTTACAGACAGTACATCCAAAATTTCCAAGCATAAAACATAAAAACGATACTGTAGAAATGCTATATTTATAAAACCCCAAGGACTAGCACCAATATAAAATTTAGTAGTATATTATAAAAATAACCAATATTAGGAGTTAGTTTTTAATAAAATCATGGAGATAAAGAACGGTTTATCATGGACTAGGACTGCAACGGATAGAGACGCCACTTTATGATAAGGATCTTATTGTATAAAGAGTCCAAATTCGAGAGTCGAGAGTATGCCAAAAGTCGCGTCTATAAAGACAGTTCTCGTCAGCTTAGATGTCAGCGCGGTTTGGTACTACGTGATCGTAACTATAGTGAGCAATCAGTCGATAAAGACATAACAGGCTTTGAGCACATATAAACTAGGCCGTGGCCACCTATGTTCTCTTTCTACTTCTTCCCGATTAAGTCAAGACGTATTACATGACATCCCTTGGATGATTGGTCAGGTAACAAAAACATTTTTATTTATTCATTGCCATTATATTATAATTAATTTGGCTATCATATTATACTTAAATTAAAACAACTAAGAAAATTATATTCGTTCGCGACCGATTGTTTTATACTCATAACAGTTATTCTAAAGAAGATAACAAAATTAAGGAACTACATGTCCATGCTCTATAATATGAAGTAAGCGCGGCTTTTTTTCTATTTTCAAAATAAGAATTTTTGCCGCATAGGAGGGGACTGCTTCAGTCATGTCCTCTGAAAAGTTCAGGTTACTTCCGAATTCTTTTATAAATTTGTAGGCGATACCTTTTTTTTCGCTAACGGGAAAATGTTAACTGCAGATACTACAGAGTTTCGCAGAAAGACTGTTAAGTATTTATATACCTTTTGGTGTTTTGACATTTATTTCTGCGCGCTTCAAACGTTTTCATAAAAAAAAAACATTCTGATACCCTATAATATTGAGCGGTGAATTTTTCCATTTGTTGATAAGAACTATAGCCCTGCCCATAGAATGTAGGTTTAAACTTTTGTAGATTTATCTCTTGTAATTTATGAGCAATAGGCAGAAAGCCAATTTCCAAGCAAGCAATTAAATGGCTGCTAATTAACAGCGCTACTATTGCTAGTGATAAAAGATGCCCAAGAGTTCCCTATACTTTACTGGCTTTTATTTTGGGGACTGTGTTTTGTTTATTCTAGCTCAAACGAGCTGACCACACTGTAACACTTGGAATTATGAGTTTGGAGGGTAATCATGTATTGGAAAGTTAGCTTACGTTTTCGTTCTTTGGTTGATTTTGCTTCGCCTATATAATAGCGTTGAGCATTGTATGATGGCTTTTCTTTTTATACACAGCAGCTATTAAAATCACTCTCTCATGTCCATCAACTTATGAGAAAGCTAAGTAACTTACTTTTCGCGTGAGTATTTGTTGTTCTGAGTTAACATTGAGTTAAAATTGAATCTGAATCAAAATCGAATCAATATTTCGAGCCATTTCTTTTGTTAAAGCCAAGTTTATATTAATCCATAATATTTCCATTATATTAAACCAAATATTGGACCAAAACAATCCATGTAAGTCTTTGCGTACTTATTTAAAGTCCTCACATTTCCATCGTCTTGGAGGTAGAAGTGTGAGGTTAAGTTAGAGGTACCGAAACTATAATCAACGTTCGATGGTTTGGGAAAAGTTCAAATCAGATTTCTTGAAATTTTTCCTGCCATCGCGATATTTCAATCGATTTGAAGACGAAATATGCCATCGGACACAACGGCCAAGAGAAGTATTTCGAGGCTATGTACTATCAGAGACAAAAATTGACGCGACACACAGCGATGAGTGAAGAGCAAAATTCTGAACGCATCTATACGAATGTGGAACCGAACTCTTTTTAAACTCCAAGGCTTCCAGACGAGGCTGTGGTTCGTAATCGACCTGCCTTGGATGCGTCTGGACATGGGATTTTCCAGTAAGAAGACAGAAATAAATAGATCATAAACAACTTCACACAGCGACTGTATCAAGCTTGAGTCGGTATCCATTCGACCAACACGACTGAGAGACTCCAACAGGGTCGGAAGTCTTCTATCCACTTCTGTATTCATACGACCGAGGTCATTGCCAATATAGTGTACGACTTTTTCCACGCTTGACAAGCGGTTACCCAAGCTGCGCGACACATCAGCAATGACTCGAAAAACGGAGAATCTTTCAGGAGTCAAAGTCGTCTCTCGCTTTGACCTCACATGTCCTTCAACTTAGAGAGGAAAGTGTTAGGTTAAGTTAGCGGTAAGATAAATTGATTGAATTAAGTTGATATGGCGGATGACGGGATTGGCGAAACAGCTGTTTTCAATCTTCTAGGAAGTGCAGGTCAGGTGACTTCCACTGTCGCCCGAATCAAGGGACCGACAACTTCAAGAGACTTTTGGAAAAATTTTTTGAAAATGTTAGAAAAAATTAGTGGAAGTAACTTCTTGTGCTTTTCATGTTGTTGTTATGCGTTGTTGTATAGCAAATGATTATTGAAATATTCCTAATATTTAGTGAAGACGCATACATGGAGCCCACATATACTTTCGTAAGCCTGCAAAAAATGAAGAACGTTTCGTACTACAAAGGCAAGCATAGCCTTCATGGAATGATAATGAGTTAAACCACATCTATATATGTTTTTGCGTTTATATATATAAAAATTTTAGTCTTCAATTTTGCGACCACATGAGAATTATGGCAGTAAATTTTTGGTTTGGATAAAGAGAACTTGGACGACTTTGTTGACGCCTCCCAATTGAGACCAATAAGCGAGGAAACAAGAAACGGCATTCTTCTGCACTTTCAAATTAAATTGCATTGAAATAAAAGATAAAAAAATAAACCCGCTTTAGGATGTTTTGTGGAAATTAAAAAAATGGCTTTTATTTACGTAATACAAAACCAGGATTGATTTGCAATTGATTTTAAAAGATTATACATGGTCTGTAGGCAAATTCGTATGCGAACGTACATTACACAAAATAAAACCGATATATATTAAAATTCAAATTCCAAGCTCATAATTCAATGTTGCCCTAACAAATGAATATAAGAAATTATATGGGATGTGAGAAATTATTAGACTTCACTAAACTTTTTTTGGATATTGAGTTTAATTGGACTAAGTCAATGAAGAATGTGGCTTATATGTCCACATAATACAATGTGATTATTATTTGCAAAACATATGTATATTTTTAAGAAAACAAAAACAAAAACGCCGAGGCCGTTACACAATAAAGCAAATATGTAAAGTGTAATAGGCGATCGTTAAAGGGTATAAAGGGATATAAGAAAAATTTTGACTAAAGAAAATATTGATTAAGGAATAGTTAAAAATTATTATAAGTTAAAAGTCAAATTCCCTTTTCTGATAAAGAAAGTTAGTTCCACGAGATGCACATTTCTTATTGTAAAACGAAAGGTCGAAGAGGACAGTATATATATTAAAAAACAAGAATGCATTCTACAATTATCGAGCCTGTGACATCTGAGGATGAAATATTCAGCAGATTTAGTAGCATTGCAAGTTTCGCAAATATTATGTGGTTTAGAACGAATCATTTTTAAATACATTTTATGTAAGCGTGGCCACACATGAGTTTGTTAAGTAAATTAATCTTCCAGAAATTAAAGATCATCTCTAATAGGAGTTAAAAAGGGGATTTATTTTATAGAAAACGTGGTTAGTTTTAGCACGCGCAATTTCTATACCTTCGTTGCTTAGTTGTTGAAAGACGAGCTTCTGAATTACCCGTATTGCTTCACTGGCAGAATATTGGATAAATTTGTACCGTCGAAAAAGACACAGACACCAAGAGTCCATAAAAGTTGACAGTTTTCAATTTGAGATTTATATATCATCTTATGTATTTCAAATACAAATTGACTATAAACATATATTTTATTTATTAAAAGCAGAGCTGGCTTGCTATCGAAGAATTCGACAAATTTTGTATAACAATTAATACACCTACGTTTACAACATGTCTGATGGCGAGCAATTCGGTAAAAGTGGAGGAGAGTGCGTCCATAATTCCAGTTTATGTAGTGCTTGAAATAGATGTTTCATTAGTGACTAGCTGCATGCAGTACGTTTGACGGAACCATCAGCAGCATATATTACAGTCGTTCTTTTAATAAAGAACAAGTTTTTCTTGGCATAAAACCCCCAAACAGCAAAGATTGACGTTTCTCTCCGTCATAAACATCGTTTCAAGGATGTTCATTGTTAACGAAATTCCAACGAGAAAGTAAGTTCATCTTGTCAAAAATTAGACTGAGTTTTTGATAATAGAATGCGCAGCTAATGAGACAACCTCGCTCAGAGACCTAACTTTCTTGAAAAAGGGATGTATTCATTACCTTAACCTTAGTTAGCTCGTTAGCAGTACAAAAACAGCGCTTTTGGACAGGGGCCATTGACCAAAAATAACATTGAGGATATAAGGAAGAACTGAGGGTCTCAGTCTGCTACAACGTTTTAACATCTTCTTTTAAAGTGTTAGTACCGACTGAAAACATTTGGTAGTTCTTCCACCTTCAAAAGTAAAATTTCTTCAGACCCAGTAACTTTCATTCAAAAATTCTACATTTCTAAATTGAGTAAGCACGGAGTTGTTTTGTATGGGTTGCACAGAACTTACGGAACTCTTTCACAACTGTTTCCAGGTTTTCAGAGACGGTCGATTGGATCGCACTGGGGGTGGTGTTTTAGTTGTCATCTGCTGCAGTCCCATCCTATTCATTTGAACTTTCTACTTCTTCTGACGTTGAATTTGTTGCCATTCGGGAAAAAATTGCCAATAAACAGTTACTGGTAACTTGCTCCAAAATTCCCCCAAATGTGGATCTTATAAGAAACAGGGTGCTCTCACTTGTGACAGGGCCGAAAAGTCTAAATCTACTGATATAGTTATAGCGTTGGGGGACTTCAGTTTGCCACAAGTCATTTGGTGTTATAGCGATAATTCTGGTTGTATGGTTCCCACTTCAACATCTGATAGAGCTATTGTGTTTTTCAGAGGATCACTTGATCGTAATTTACTTCATTACAACCGCAATCCTAATTGTAACGGCAGATTTTTACTTTACTTGAGGATCCGTATCATCCAATTGTATCCAACATCGTCAAATAAGTATTATGATTTTAATAAAACCCTTATATGACTGCTTAAAACTAATCTTTCAAACATTGTGCTCATTTTTTTGCTGGGAATATTGAACCTTTACTACCATCGCTCTAAAATGTATTAAATTTTCTAATGTCCGCGTACAATTGTAGCGTAGGCGTTCCGTCGGCCTGATTTGACCGCTACTCTATTACAATAGAGTAAGCAAAACCGTAATAACGGGCATTTTCAAGAATAACGGTTTGCTGTTACGCAAAGAAAAAAAAGGGAAAAAAGAAAGAAAAAAACCTCTAGTCATAATGGTGTCTCTTGCTAAATCACTCTATTATGCAAGAGAGAATCGTGAAAAGAGGAAAAGTCCAGAGTCCGTCTGTGTATTTTGAGCATATTAGTTTTTGTTTGTTTCTGAAGTTCTGAACAGATTTGGTGTAGTACTTTGTCATGTTAAGATCTGGCGCAACGATGTTTAAGGGAAAAGAAGAGAAAAAATTAAACACGTGCAAAACAAAGAGAAAAAGTACAGTTCTGGTTTTGATGCTTTGTGAGGTTAGTAAAGGAAAGTAGAGTTTGAGTGTTGGTGCTGTGAAAAGTGGTGTGTGTTCATTGAGGGCAGAAGGAGGCGCATCGATTTCAAAAATAGAGATTATTTAGAATATCTTGAACAGAATGCGTGCGAAAAAAAAAAAAATTAAGAAATAAATAAAGCGAATAAATATATTTATGTAAAGAACAAAAAAATTATGGAAGTCGTGTAAAAAGAGTTCGTGAACTTCTGATCTGATAGCTTCTGAAAAAGGATATTCGTGAAGAAGAAAATTATTAATATAAAAATATTAGAAGAGAACAAAAAAATTATTATAAAAAGATGTTAACATTAAGATATTAACCAAAATTGGCAAACGACTGCCTGCACCATAGACTTAAGTTATAGAAATTTACACACGAGACGAGAAATTTTTGCGGATTATTTCGCCTTGTTTTTTTTCTAAATAAAAAGTGATTTTAAAAGTTTTTGGTTATTTTCTTTACTTTGTCTTAATTAAGCAAATAATGTTATGATAATTAAATAAAAGCAAAGAAAAAAGGACTCTGGAGAAGTAAAATTTTATATAACGGAGACTCGCTTTTTTTCAATTTCAACGTAAAAAAAAAGAATTTTATCACTGCCTGCAATTGCACATACGCATATATGAAGATTTTTGGGGAAAAAAAAGTTTTTTTTGTATATACGTAAAGCTCACACATGTAAATAATTACTAAAACGTTTGAAACATTTTATCTTATGCGGAAATCTAGAAGAAATCAAAAGCAACAATTCTTATTATTACTATTATAATTTTAGACTAATGAAATAAATTCTTAGAGGAAAAAAAAAGACATTGAGCACTAGCAACACAGACCACGGCACAAGCAGGGGGCAGACCAGAGGATTTTGAATAGTCTTTGTATAAAAGATTCCAACCAGTACTCTCCAGTACTTGGGTTTTTTCAGCTATTAGATTCCTGAAGACGTAATTTGGAGTGTCTTCTTCCTTGTGCATGGACAGAGAAATGTTAATACAGCATTCTTTCAAAATCCATGCCGGTTTAACACCAAAAGAGCGAAAAATTTTTAAGGGAATGTTCAATTTCTTTGCGACGTACAAACAATGGTCAATTGCGGATGGTGACTTTGGAATTTTCTTCGCAACAATAATCTTTCTCACTTCATCACCGAGAATAGATTTGTTTGAATTAAGAAGCTTGGGGACTATTTTAGCTTTTAACTCATAAAGTCTATTTTCTAAAGCCGGGAGACCAGTTTCAATTATAGTATTATTTATGAGCGTCTTCCGAAAAGCATAGCAATTTGCTCTGAGGGCTAGGTGATAGACCGGTTTAAGGATGTTGATATTAGATTTGCAGCTATTGCCTAAAATAATCAAAGCATCGTCTTACTTAAAACAAGCATTTTGGTAAGTGTTAATGTTTGCATGGCTTTTCCAACCAACGTACTGTATGAAATTCACCCTTGTTAAAATATATTTTTTTAATCGAAGACAGTATGTTTTCCAACGATATTTATTGGAAAACGTGAGCCCTAGAATATGGAGCGTTCGCACTTTTAGTACTGGTAAAGCATTAATATGCATCAGTAGATTTCCTGCATCACATATCTGCTTTCGACAAATGTGCATGTTTTTGTGTTGTTGTGAGATTTTTGTATAGAAATTTTAGCGCTTGACCAGTTTGCCCATGCGGAGATCTCTCGTCCCATAGATTCGAGGATGTTGATTGCCTTCGTGCTATCTTTTTCTTTTGTAAAAATGTATATATCGTGCGCCTAGATATAATGTTCGATTCTCGATACACGGCAAAGCATTTTACTAATTTCATTGAAAGCGATCTAAAAAAGCCTGACAGAAAAAGAAGATGCTTGTGGAATGCCACTCCTTAGCGGAAAGGAATCAGAGAGATGATTTACGTACTTGAAGAATTTGGGTACTACATTCCATTATTTCAAGAGTCTTAAAATCAGAAATGACTCGGCCTGTTTGAAGTAATTATTCCAATCCGCATTATCTAGAAGCAATTCGTGTTGTTTTGGTAAAGTAACAGAGGACTCCCAAAGGTTAAGATCGATTATGATTGGAAAGTGATCACTGTTATGTGGACCACCAGGAATAGACCAGGAAACCAAAGGAAGAAGTGACAGATGTGAAAAGGTGTGATGAGCCGAAAAGTGCGTCGGTTTTCCATCATTTAAAATGCAGAGTGTACCGTTTTTTTGAGAACGCACCCTAGCTCTTGGTCGGTAGAGCGGTTGTCTTCGGCCCGTGATTCCTCATCACAAAAAAACATTAAATAATAATAAAAACAAAATAAAACAAAGGTCTTTCATTTACACTATATACTTTTATACACTTTTATGCGTATTATATCGTCTGTCGTGTACGTTGTCCGTTGGTCTCTCCTTCGTGCGTCGGCATCTGTCTAGGGTCCCCCTACTTCCCCTCACGCGTACACAGCCTCGTACCCCCGCTACACTTTACTTAAAGTTTACGAATACCTGACTGTTGACAGCTGAACATGTACCGCCCTTTTGCTCCAGTCGCTGAGGTTTCACAAAAGCAGATGTGGGCACAATACTTGCAATATTGTCATCCATACTGCCGACGGTCGATATTGTCCTAGTTGAAGCGCTACCGCCTGTTAGATGGAATGGCAAGGTTTAACACCTGTGGGAATGCCCAGTTGCACACAAAGAGCAATTACGGTTCCACGTTTATTTTCGTTTGGATCCAAACCTTCGAATGGCTTCAATAGTGATAGATTAGCATTAAAGAAGTGCGGAAATAGGACGGCCAAAGGTTTATTGTAGCCGCAGGCGTTATATTGCCCTGATCTCCTTTTTTTCTACCGTCACTGTCAAAGGACTTTCGTGCAATTTAAAGTTATAAGCTTCAATTCCATTAATGGTGCTAGGATGGGTAAACACGATAGGTAGTGTACGGCAGAATGCTTTGCGGCAGTTGCAAAATCTTCCCCCTTCTCTGCATCATGAGGAAATAAGAAACGATCGAAAGAGTCATATACCCCATTGCAGTTGGTTAAGTTTCGTTTTCTGTATAATAGTTTGGCTGTCGGCCCTTCGATATTTTACTGCCAGTTTAGTGCATGTTAACCACTTTACGGCCTCCATAAAACATGTGTTCTAATAACCCGAATTTCTCAAAACTAATAATTTTGAGGTAAGTCACTGTTATACCCAAGATTGGTTTCAACTGTAGTTTGCTTGCCAAAACCTTTAAAGCCATGGCAGTTATCATTGAGCAGGAAGAAGCCACCGACGTGGGACCCAAATAAGGTATCTTCTGAGCAATGATTTTATCTATCTTAGGGTCACCGGATCACTTACAAACTGGACCGTGCGCTTCGGTAGAAACGTCACCGTGTTGTTGGAATGAAAGGTTGCATTATGACTTTCCAATAATATCTGGTAAATGTACGGGCCCACTTCCACCAACTTCATTTTATCGTAAACATCCCTGGAGAATCTGAGACTTCGCAACTGTTTTGCAGGATCAATGCTGGAAATTGTTGTGACGAGCAGCACCAAGATTATCCCCCAAATACCCAAAAGAAAGAATTTTTATATTATCGCAGCTTTCGTTACTTGCAACCAAATATATGGACTTCGCAGGAACACAATCAGCCAGAACAAGGACGGTTACTAGAATTTGGTCAAAAGAGTATCGGCTTTCTCATCATTCGTTTTTGCCTTTCTTTTTCTGCATTTCAAGGTGGCTTTCGATTAATCCGCACTCTTTAATCTTTAAATAACGCTAGGTGAGTTATGCCGTTAAATGTTTCACTTTAAAACCACATCAAGAATGCTGTCGATTTTAAGCTTATGATCGCCCATCTACGGTGTTAAATGTTTCCCCTGATCGATATCCAATGCTTTCACATCGTCACGAAATACTTTACAAGCATAACCAAAAACCAATAAATCGACTTGGCGCGATGCATTTTGGATTTACATTAAAATTAATGGTTGTTGCTGTTTTTGTTGTTACTGAGGAAACGATGGAGTAGGTATTACCGGCGGTAGGGCCAGACACTTTACGTAAAATACCAGTAATCCTACCGCTTCCATTTCCTCCTGTTATGTTATTACTAGTAAAATTATCACGTTTATTATTAGCGTTTCACATGGTAAAAGACATTATTTTGTTAACTAGCACTTGTTCAATATATTATTTAAAATAAGTATCAATCTTTTTCCTTAAATTGTCTATAAATTATTGTAGACTTTATCAAAATATATGTTTGCCATTAGTTTCATGTAAAAAAATGTCCGTTTTCTTTAAGCAGATGACCAAACAACAGTCAAAGAATAAAAAAACTTTATTGTCTCAACAAATTAACAGAACAAACAAGTAAAACAAGCGGTATCAGAAAATAAAGAATTAATTCTGCACCACACACTGCACATTTTTATTGACTTTCACTAGACAAGACCAAACGCTAACTGATCATCCAATACTCTCCTTTCAAACCTTTTTCCATTTTTTCTTCTTCAAGCATAGCGGCAAGCCGCTATTCTTGTGATCACGCGATTTCGCATAACGGGATGCCGTTATTACTACATTTTCGACAAAAACAGACCGACTGACATCCTACCCTAAATTTGTTCGCGGACGTTACAAGTTAAAGTATTGTCAACTTTGAATCCTTCCAACCACACTGCACTTGATCGTGCTCCTTCTGCTATTCTCCAACATTTTGCTGGTTTATAATATATAATTTAATGTTCGTTTGAAAGAAGGTTACTTCCCTTCGGTTTGGAAGAGTAGTGCTATTTTTCTTCGTTATGAAAGTGGCTCTCAGAATTTTATTGAGAATTCTAGGGAAATTGCCATACTTAGTGGACTGCCTGAGCTTTTGAAATCACTGATAACTAAAAGGCTTACTTGGGTTGTAAAATCAATTATATCGCGCTGTCAACACATTTTTTTAAAGTGTAAATCAACTGCCACTAATCTTTTAGAGATTTGTAGCCTAATCCGCAAAGCATTTTCCGGTCATAAATAAATTGATGTTATTTTCACGGACTTTTCCGAAGCTTTCGAGAGAGTTGATCGTATGTTATTGGCGTATAAGTTATGTCGCTTTGGTTTTTCGAACAGTATGACTGCCTGGTTCAGTGGGTATCTCTCTGGCCGCATCCAACGAGTGGTACTGAATTCTTGTTAAAGCAGAGTCATTTCCGTCACTTCTGATGTTCCTCAGCGCAACTAACTTGGTCCGGTTTTATTTATTTGATGACCTTCTGGCGTGCATTCAACGTTCCCATGTTTTAATGTTATCAGACTACATGAAACTGCCCCTCTCCTTTGACTCAGAATGTGGTACCAAAGTTGTTCAATCAAGTTTGATAGTCATATAGAAGTTCCAGTTAATAAAGCTAGATCCCTTATAGGGTTCATAAAAAGATGGTCTAAAGAATTATAGATTACGAAGTGCTTGTACACTTCTTTAATCAGACCAACTGCTGAATACTCGTCGATAGTTTGGCTTTCTAGTTATAGGTACAATGTTCATTTCTTGGAGTCTGTTCAACGGGACTTCGTGATGGTCGGTTAGCGAAGTTTAGGATGGAATTCTGCGCTAACTCTTCCACCGTATTTTAATAGATTGAGGCTTATTGAGTTGCAAAAAGGAGTGAAAGACGTGAGAAAAGGCGGTTGTAACCCTCATCTTTAAGCTAATAAAAGGAGATTTTTTTCGCCAGCTTTATTAGAATTCATTAATATTTACATCACCTGTACGGTGTCAAGACGCTTTATGCTCTTGCAGCAGTCACAATGCTGTTCGATCAATATCGGGTAATGTGTAAAATGTTAAACGAACATTGCCACTTACTTGGTTTGTCCATTTTGTCTGTTAATAAGGTTAAAAGCATTATATTGCATAACTAATTGCTAAACATTTACGAGTCTTGTACAATACATGTAAATTTAATTAAAATGTTCCTTTATATTTGACTTTGTTTCTCACTATTAATAATGTATAAATAAGTACATGTTCATTCTTCAATATATATCGCTGTATCTTACTTTAGGGCTTAGTTGAATGCCGGTGTATATTAAATGTTGACGTTGTATTTATTTTTATTTAAATTTTTTTATTCTCTATACTAAATTTTAAGTTATTTTGTAGCTTACATTCGGCTAATGATTAGTTCTGTAATGGAATTTAAGTGATTAAATAAATAAATAAACAGATCAACGCCTTTTCTCATCGCATGTGTTTACCTCGACGTCGCAATGATAGTAATGATTCTCCTAACAGTTTATGTACATATATTGCTTACATATCTTTTGGTGATCACGTTTAAAAATCTGTAAACTGTACTTAATCTAATGTACAGAAAAGGCTTTAAATGAAAAGATTGTTAAGAATGTTTTATACCCTTTTTGTACGATTTAAACAGTTTTCTTGGTCTAGTTCAATAGGAATGCAAAGCTTTGCTTAAGGCGTTATTGTTTTTAGGTTAGTTAATAATGAGAGAAATAATCGGCAAACACACTTAACAAATGTACATTATAACGTAAATTTATTGGTATCATTGCCATTGTTTAATAAAGGTAAATAATATTACATAATAAAAGCATATAACAACAATATTTTTTACATTCCATGTTTATCTTTTTGGTATCATTGCCAAATCTGTTAACCATATAACATATTTCGCTTTTCAATGAACAAATAGACGGTGATTATTTGATCCTGGGAGCAGTCATAATTGTGCATCGTAGGCCTCTCTGGTTAACTATTTTGTGGGTAGCTATCAATATAGATTGAGGATCATTGTTTTCGATAATAGGGTGTGAAGAATCATCTATAAATAATCGTTCAGTCTTCGGTGATGCAGACATTTCTATTGAAGTATTCATAGTAGAATTTGAATTGTCGTCCCAGGATTCAACAGAAACTAAAGGTTTTCTATTTACACTATTTCTCTTTGATTGGGATACATTCGCAATATAGGAACTTTATGAAACTTTGTTCTTCAAGAATCTTTTAGACCATACTTTCCCCACATCAGGTTTTAGTTGTATCCAAATTGCTTGTATAGTTTCAAAATCCGGAAACATCTTTGTGGATCGATCATAGCAATGTTTACCTCCCTTCTTGTTAACTGCTATCTTATCTGGAACTACGGAAACTATCACATACCCAAAACTTGCAGCGAAAGCTTGTAGACCACACCATGTCCTTCTGGTCATTAGTTCCTCAACAGAGCTACTTCCAATCTTATTCGGCGTATTACGCCAATGTAATAGTGACCACCACACATCTTCTATTTTCTTGTTAGCCTTGATACTAATTGTTTTAGCAGTTTTAACTGATTCTACCGTTACCTTGATGATGATATGGTTATGACGTTATATGTTGAAATACAGTTTTTGAGGCAAAGAGGTTAATTTCTCTGTTTATGCAATGAGTACAGTTATCTAAATCCACCTGTTTGCTAAGCAAGTTGTTCCCACCCAAACTGTGTTTACACAAAAACACTATAAATTATAGATTAAATATTACAATATTATAAATTTTTTTTTTTTTTAATCTAAAAATACTAAACAATTAAAAGCTGCAGAAATGATGTGGACGGTTTGCTGATAGACTTATTGATGTCGATGTTTTATCCCATGAGGGTCTTTGAGTTTGAGTTTGCATGGATTTTTATTATGGGTTCTGTTGTGTAGATCCACGCAGTTGTACGGGATTTTGTAATATCCAATAGGCCCCTTCACATTGGTTTGCAACGGTTCCGTAATGTTTTTAACAATTTTTCAATCGTTTTTTTATTTCTTTTATAAACAAAGACTACAATTGCTTTTTATTTCATTTATTAACAAATTTTACAATTGTTTTTCACTTCTTTTATTAACAACTGATAAAGATTAATTTTAAAGTCTTTTTAAAGAAAATTTTACTAACAGAAATTTAAAAAGATTTTTTTTTCTTTTTTTTTTTACAAAAAAAAATTGTGAACGTTAAAATTTTCTTTCCTTCCCAAATTTCAGTGACTCATCACTTCAAACGCAAAATGAGAACTCCCCCCTTGACAAAAAAAAAAATAAATTAAAAAAAAAATCAATCGCCTACTCATTTTCCTACACCTCATGAACAAAAGTGGAATGAAATGACTCAAATAATTGATCTTTGCAATGAATCTTCAGAAGTTAGCTTCATTTTCGCACCTATTTATAAGAGGCAGTTGTCCAGCTCTAAATAAAATGCATATTATCTACAAAAAACGAGGCCATTTTGCGAAATATGGTTATTCAAAAAATTAAGTAAATTTACAAAATTAAATGGAAAGTTGGAATAAATATCAGCGTGACACAGATAGTGGTGCTGGCTTGTGTATGGTTGGTTTTACAAATCTGTTTAATTTGCTTACCAAGATAAATCTAATATTAGATCCATCGAACTGTAATATAAAAATTGGTGTAAAAGATGATACAAAAATAAAGGTTCCAGGAAAATTCAAGTTAGAAATCGACCTAACGGTGCCGCCAATAATTCAAAGGTCGACACAAATGCTTCTTGGCCTGAGAGAAAAAT